TCAATTTATTACAATCAAATCATGTCAACAAAACACTACATTTATTTTTTAAATATTATGTGAATTAAATATTTTAATTATTATTAGAGGTACACGAAACCTCGATCATACTTGCAACTAATGGAAATGGTTTAAAAGCTTGAAATTCTGGCTCTCCACACTTGTAAATGAAAAGGGTTTGAAACTTTCCGACATGGAATCCCCAGGAGTAGATTCTACCGTCGTTCATGTTACAGCTAATTATAGTGCACACGTTTTTGCAACATGTTATTATTTAAACATGTTATTACTATTATACTATTCTATGCACGACTATATGTTAACTCCAAATCTCAGTAGAATATTTACTTTATAGATAGTTAAGATGGACTTTCAGGATCCGATATGGAAATTTTAATAATTGACTAAAAAACTATATGTGGAGTTTTTTCTTTTTGTAAATAAATTATTTGGATCTGATGTATGAAATTGACTAATTTCTGCGAAGTATTTTGGGTGTGTTCGACAGCCTCAAAAATTCAAAAAAATGTAACTCGAGTTACAACTTTATTCAAGTTTATGTTCTTTTAAGTTTGAACTCGAGTTTGTAACTAAAACTCGAGTTCAAATTTCCCCTTCAACTCGAACTCAAATTAATTAACAGTATTTTTTCCATTCTTAAAAATGCTATAACTTTTTCGTTTTAATCTTGATTGAGATGATTTTTTTTCTATGCGTTGACAACGAAAAGACAAATAAAACCTCACTCATATACCATATTAAAATTTTTCATCACCATTGAGTTTTTATTAAAATAATATCTAAATACAAATTTAAGTTTTGACTCACTCAAACACAAACTTAAAAAGATTCTTATCTCAAACCATAACTCAAATGTACATAACTAAACACAAACTTAAGTTACAACTTTAACTCAAATTATAACTCAAACTCAACTCAAAATCTTAACTTAAAAATACCTAACTCAAAAATACAAAAGAACAACCCCTTTTATCTTTCAAGGGAGGAAAAAAAAAAAAAAAAAAAAAGATGAGATCGAAAAAATGTGCAAGTCAAGAAGAGGAAAAATAATTTTGACAATCCTTTTATTTCAAAGATCCGTACGGTTAAAAAGTAATAATGTTCCTAATAATGCAAGTACGATTGAGAAATGTGTTGTATGAGATCCCGCCTGATAAGCCAAAAAAAAAAGATCCTGCTATATTCTACTTGTTTTACCTGTGAATGATCTTCTAGAAACAATGAAATGTACGGCATTTTTCCAAGTTAGCAATACACTAGTCATATTGGGGTCAAGATGATATCATGAATAATCATAAGATACTCAATTAAGATAAACAAAAACCTTTTCTCTCTCTTTTTTTTATTTTTAAGGAAAAGACAACAAAAACAGAGATTAAAGAAAACACATTAACAACAAAATAAAAAAAATAAATAAATAAAAATAAAAGGAAGGTTAAAGGTGGCTAATGGTACATAATTTAAGCAACCAAAATGGCCAAGGTCGTCATCGTATTAGCAAACTAAGGGCTGACTAAGGATTTCTCACTATAGCCTCCGAGAAAATTTAATAGACTTTTGGTTCATGGATTAGAATTATTTTCAATTTACGTGTATTTTTTGTAAGAGAAAACACTGTAGCGAACTATGAACTATGATTCGAATCGGAATACGAATCCTCTAACCAATAATTTATTTTTTATTTTTTTGGATGAAAAGTAAGACCGTTTCAAACACCTTTCCTTTCCTTTCCTTCAGAAGTGGGAGTAGTATTTGAAAAACATACATCTACTATTATATTAAATATGTATTAGGTAATTTGAAAAACTTGCAAGTTTCGACTTCAAAAAAAACAAAAAAAAACAAAAACAAAAAACAAAAAAAACAAAAAACAGCTCAACTTTTGGGTGGGTGGACAACTTGTTAATGGAATAATAATGAGGAAAGAGATTGTAAATTTTGAGTTCCTTGTCGTGTGGGATATATCGTGAGACGAAAAGCTCTTAATTTTTTACTCGAGATAGAAAAATTTCTATGGGACAACAATAGATTTTTAAGTATATTAAAGATCTTAGGGGGTTAAGAAAATCACAGAGTGTATTAAATAATCTTTTGGCCATTTTTAAGGTTGACACCATATCCCGGGGAGGCATATCAACTTCTTTCTTTATTAATTATGGGTTTTATTTATTTATTTATATTTATTATTTTAGAACAGAAGAATCACATCAATCCGAAGACTAACTAAATTGTTAATTATGCTTATCAGTCCCTACTATTTCTCTCTCGCTCTTTGCCTCTTTCTTCACTTAGATTCCAATTTCAAAGATAAATAGCTTTTTGCAAAGAAAAAAAATAGTTAATGACCGATCAATATTAAAAGTTAAAATATGCATGAATTTGTTATTAATTTATATATATATAATGACAACCATCCGTAACTATTAAAAACTCGTTCATATATATATTAAGGAATAATGTGTTGTTATATTAATCTTCTTCATGACAGTTCACGTGAATGATTCACATACTAAGGTCCCGTTCAGTTCAACGATTCAAGTTTTTAATTCGAGTTGAGATGTGACTTTATGTGAGAGCTTTTAACTGTAGTAAAAAAAGTTAGATGTGACTTTTTATGAACCGTAATAAAACTAAAATTGAAAACTTGAATCAGTAAAATGAACGAAAATATTGAGCCCGTTTGGTTGGAGGATTCGTTCTCTTATTCGAATCATGGTTCATGGTTCGCTACAGTATTTTCTCTCATAAAAAACACACGTAAATAAAAAATGATTCTAATCCATGAACCAAACGAGCTTTAATCCCCACCCACAGCTTGCGCAACATAATTCGGTTTACACGCCAAAACCAACGGCACAAAATTGAAGCCAATAAATGCTACAGACACACTTAGCCCTCTTCCTATAAAAAAAAACAATTAATGTGTTTACCTTCAACAACCTCAAGAGCTCACATGTAATATTTAAGGGAAATAGTAGAAAATAGACCAATATAAAAAGCTTAAGAAAGTATACATGCCAATTTTTAGTTATAAAAATTAATAGGTCATAACTTGTCAAGTTATGGTTCATAACCAGATAAGTTATGGATAAACTTGTCAAGTTATGGTTCATAGCCAGACAAGTTATAGACAATTATAGACAATAACTTGTCAGGTTACGGTTCATAACCAGACAAGTTATAGACAAAAACAGTAATTTAGCCTATTTATTAACTTATGTAAACTATTAACCTATTTATTTTAATTTATCTCAAATCTTAACATATTTTTCTCTTTCTCACCGAAGCACATAACGTCCACATTATATGGCAAAAATAAGCTGGAAAAACTTGTCCTTTACTACGTTATTTCCTTGTCAAAGCCCACCGTCCAAATTAGGACCATCCTATGACCCAAACCCAATTAAGCTAGACCAAGCCCACCCTGTTACAAGATCCAACCAAAATCAGACCATTTGAGCAGCAAAAATGAGACAAATACTATTTAAATTACAGAGTCTTAATTTTTACTCTATTATTCTTAATTAATATCATTTTAACAGGTTACGGTTCATAACCAGACAAGTTATAGACAAAAACAGTAATTTAGCCTATTTATTAACTTATGTAAATTATTGACCTATTTATTTTAATTTATCTCAAATCTTAACATATTTTTCTCTTTCTCACTGAAGCACATAACGTCCACATTATATGGCAAAAATAAGCTGGAAAAACTTGTCCTTTACTACGTTATTTCCTTGTCAAAGCCCACCGTCCAAATTAGGACCATCCTATGACCCAAACCCAATTAAGCTAGACCAAGCCCACCCTGTTACAAGATCCAACCAAAATCAGACCATTTGAGCAGCAAAAATGAGACAAATACTATTTAAATTACAGAGTCTTAATTTTTACTCTATTATTCTTAATTAATATCATTTTAACTAAATACTATATTAGTCAAAAAGGTATTAATAAAAAATAAAGAATAAAAATCTATGCTCATGCATTTTTAAGGGGAAGTTTTGGAATTTTCTCTTTTAATGATGTGTGGTTGGACTTTGCGTTGGTCCACGTGATGCTAACATGTATGCATTAAGCTAAAAATAATGGAAAGATAATCAATCACATTAAATGGCAAAATTTTGTATTTTGAATTGAAACTTATAAAAATTCTCAGTATATTATAAGTATAGCACAAATAACATAGTAATTATTATATTGATATTACATATTATCCTATATAATGATGTAATCATTAAAATGATTTCAAATTTTACTATTTAAATTTTGCTATAGGTGTAAATATTTTGATAAAAATTTAAGCCCAATTTATACAAAAAATAGTACGTTAATTAGACTGTGTACACTTTTAAAATTCAACTTTTCATCTTTGATGCCACAATTAGGCTTGATAATTTTCTACAAAAAAAAAAAAAAAAAAAAAGAACATAATTCAACTCTAAAAAATGATATATTCTTCTAATTCACTCAAAAAATAGTGCAGCTAAAAAACTACGCTTTAAAGTGGTATTTCAACCTAGTTTATTACACAAGTGAGATAAGCTCGTAATTCGTTTGCTTTTCTTCAAAGGTCAGTTCCAATTCAATGCCTTCTACACGCATATTTGATTGAAAAAGCATGAAATGCTCTCAATAAAATAAAATATGTTGAGAAAAACCCAACAGAAGCTATTCGTTTTTTTTTTTTTTTTTTTTTTTTTAAGGGAGTATTCGTATTTTCCAACTGCATAAATACAACACGCGATCATTTTTCATTTTTAAAACCTCAATATAAATCCAAATCATTCATACATTTTCAACAAAAAATTAAATAAATAAATAAATTCTTCAGACGTGCAGCCGTCAACGTGGAACTACCCTGCGGTCGTGATGACTGCAGAGAATCGTTTCGTAACTGAAGAGTAGTGATTCTGTGTTCTGCGGCCCCACAGAAATCCAGGTCAACAACATGTCATTCAATAGTCGATCGCCACGTAATCAAGCCGTATCAACAAGACTGCGGATATTGAGAATTTCAAGTTTAGCCTTTTCTTTCGGGCGTGTGGCTCCATCGGAAGCGTATTGAGGCGTTTCACACGAAAACACGGCGATTCCGCGCAGCTCAGGAGCAAATCCAGCATTTCTCCAAATCTCCATAGCTCTCTCTCTCTCCCTCTCTTTCTCTCTATTTCTATTTCTCAGATATGGTTCGGTTCAAAGCGTCTCTGAAGAAATCTTGAATCGCGAAGATCGGAACTTTTTCTCGAGCATGAAGTGGTCGCCATGGCAGAGCATAAAAAGCGGAGGAGAAACGAGGAAGCTCCAGGTGAAGGTGAGCCGATTGGAGCTTCGAGGTTTCGAGTGTGAACCGGAGGAGAGAGAGAAAGCTGTGGCGCTAGAGGTCAAATGGAGGGGCCCTAACAATAACAAGCACGGACTGAAATTGGTTCCGTTCTTCCACCGGAGATCGTGGCGGAGGCAGAGGAATTTCACCGCCAGGAGATCAGGATTCTGCCGAGGAGAAGCCGTCGCGTGGGACGATGAGTTTACAAACATCTGCGAATTTCCGTTTGGCTCCGATTGGAATTTGGATTTCAGGCTGTTATATGTAAGTCGTAATCAATCAATATATATATATATGATATCGATGAAATGTTTGATGATCGAATCTGGAATTGGAATTGGACTTGGTACAGGGAGAGAGAGAGGAATCGGAGAGTAAAATGGCGGTTGCGGGGAAGGTGTCGACGAATCTAAGCAGAGACGGCGGAGAGAGTGAGATTGAGAGAGAGCTTCCTATGGTGTTCAAAGTCGGTGGCGGGAATGGGTTGGCGGGAGAAGCTATGCTGTCGGTAAGCCTTTCTTCCCACTTTTCATGGTAAGCTCAATTAGAACTCCGTACAATTTTCTCAGCTATTTAAAATATAATATAAATAGTGAGAAAAATAGTTAAAAAATGCTGAATAATAATAATAATAATAATAATAATAATAATAATAATAATAAAGTTATTTGGCTTTGGGGATGCAAGCATAAAAGGAGTGTTCACTTTTTAGTTATTTCAATTAATTTACTTGTGTTTTTCCTTTTATTTTGGAGGGGATTTATCTTTTTCGTTTAATGAGCCTTTTCCAGAAAAAAAAATGAAATAAAAACTGGTGATATTGTACAGCTGAAGGTTTTTATTGCGGGGGAGTAATTATGTTAGAACTTCTAACCGTTTTATTATTCATGACATATAACGTTAGATAAGACATACAATTTAGTGTAACATACCAAAAAAATCTCGGTCACGTTTGGCGTTGGTTTTATTTTTGTTTTTTATATTTTTTGAGAAAGAAAAAATAAAAACGGGAGAAAAACGGTATTTGACACAATTAAAGATAAAAAATAAAAATGAAAACAATTTTTTAATTTAGTGTAAAATGAGAGAGAAATAAAAGACGACTTTTAGTCATTTTTCATTTTTTATTTATGTTTTCTCGTCTCTCGAGCACAGAGAGAGATAAGACATTAATGAATTTTTTTATACTGAAAACAATCTCTTGATAAAACTACCAAACGCATTTTTAAAAATGATTTCTGTTTGAGATTGAAAATATTTTCATACAAAAAATAAAATCATTTTAAAACGAGTTCTAAACACACTCCTCATGTTTTTACTTTCCAGCCAAATTATTCCAAATTTAGCTTAATATTGGAGACAACCGATATCGTATGTCCGTTTATTTTATGCGTTTAAATCTATAGTTTTGATTCTGTTACAATATTTTCTTTTCATACAAAATTTAAATTTTAAATGCCCGAACTAAAAATTTCTAATTTGAACGCATGAATCAAATGGTCCCATATATTTTGGAGACAACCGATTCCGTATATATATAGTTATATACAGTATACTCTCATGGAATTGGAAAACTTCGAAAGAGAAACTTCGAAAGTTGAAAAACTTAAAGTAGGGAGAGGTGAGAAACATATAGAAGGAAAAAAAAACGGCATCTAATGAAAGTAACTAACATTTGTAAATCCAAGCACCAAGAGTGGAGTATCTCTATAGTTTATTTGCTTTTTCTTGAGATATAAGCATCACTCTCCCCTCGCCCGGAAGGGGGGGGGGGGGGAATCAAAACGACACGTCATTTATTGATTTCAGGACGTAAGGACATGCCGTTTTCCAGACCAAGACATGGATTCCATGGGTAGAGAAGCCCATGGAATCCACGCTTCAAGCCAAACCCAATGACGCCAAAAAACCATCATAAATTCCAAACACAATCAAGAACTTTTCTTCGTTGCAAGTTGCAACTGAGACCCTATTGTGTTCCGAAAGCACACAAGGATAATTCCAAACACAAAAAGAAGACAAAAAGAATCCATCATGTTTTGAAACTTGAAAGACATCCATTCTTATTATTACCAATGAAAATTCGCAATATTCCTCATAAATCTCCACATATCAAAAACCAACAAAAAAAAAAAAAAAAAAAAAAAAAAAAAAAAAAAAACTTGAATTTAAAAAATCACCAAAACAAGACATTGCTAAGACAAAACGTAATAATAGAGAAACTAATTTGCATAACAAGATGATGAATATGGTTCAAAAACCATGAATCAAGATATTATCTTTCTGGACAAGCTCAGCCTTGACAAGGTACCGAGAGACGTTCTTGCGCTGATCACCCTGGAGCTGAATTATCTTGCCCAGCTCTTTGTCTTGAACCACATTGCTATTGCAGCAAAGCTCCTTCTTGAGGACAATGTCGTAGCCCACGTCCTCGTTCAGCCCCTGGACCGTCGTCAAGAACTTCTTCCCTCTCATTTGCTGGACCCGGATGTGGACTTGCCCCTTGCCTGGGCGGCTGAAAGATACAGTGTCGTCGGCTACGTCGGGGTCGGTGAAAGGGTCGAAAGAGGACGGCAGCTCGAAGTCTGGATCAACCATATGAGCAGCTTTGTTTGATTGGAAAGCCTGAGAGGAAAAACTGAATGGAAGTGAAAATCTGTGTTTGCAAGTGAGTGCTAGAGAACAAGTACTAAAAAAAAAAAAAATCAATTGTAGCAAAAGAGTTGGTGACTATATAACCCATAATACCTCCACAACTAACAAATTAAAGATCGCGTAAAACAGTGGTCTAAAAAAGATACATTCTTGAAGTGCATCTGATATTTTGATACCAAAAAATAATGATAATAAAACTCTAAGACGATGTTATTTTAAAGTTCAATCTTCGTCGTACCAAAACAAAGAAGGGGGCTCTTATAAAGAAACAAAATATATATCATTAAATATAAATGCACGACAATAAAGTTACCTACCAAGAAAACAAACCAGATTCAGTAACTTAGAGAGAGCAGAAAGCAAATTTTTTTACGCCAAAAGCAGGAAATTTAGAACCGTTTACAATGAAACACATCCCAAAACACCTAGCCCAGATGTTTCGTTCTTTATTTTTTTTCTTCTTTCGGAAATCGAACAAACAACAATATGACAACGTAAGAACATAAATTTCAAAACCAAAAATTGAAAAGGTAGTGGAGGCTTCAGAAAGAATTGTACCTGAAGAAGAGCAACGTCTGAGAGAGACAATAACAATCACGTTATTCTATCTTTGATGAGAAATTCGGCTACTTGGGTTCTCCCACAAGTTGCCCTGCCAACTATGGTCGGCTTTCTCTAGGACTCGGATTAACTATTTTACCTGAAGTCGGGTATTCTATTTTTTATATTTATATTTCAAAAAATTAAACGATTATCCTTAAATAGAACGCCTCTTATATTTTCTTGAAAAATAATTTAATCTGGAATTACACATTTATCCCTTTTATATTTTATTCAACAGAAATTTCGATTACTTGGGCAACAATTAAACTCGACTATTTTCATAAATAATAAAAAAAAATAAAAAAAATTAATCTAGGATTCAACATCGTTGCCATTTGAGTCAGACTCTAACTGAGATTTTACCGCTGATTCTATAAAATCTAATTTTAGGTCAGTGTGAGCTTTGTGGAAGTGCGAAATTCAGAGTTCTCAACAGAAATCGTTCAATCCTCAAGCGACTACGATTACGACAGAGAAAGGTTACTGAGCAGGTTGACATATTTCAGGAGCTTCAGAAAGATGGGCAAATCAGCAGCGAAGGCTACTTCTTCTCCGGAGGAAAACTGTAGCGACACGGACGATTCGTCTGTGTTTCTCTCTGGTAGGGGTTCTCCGGAGAATGGCGACTCGGAATCGTCGCCAAGTCCCGAAACGCCGTCGATATTGGTTTGGAAAGATGGGCTCTTTCCGTGGAAGAAAAGACGGTTAGGTGACTGGAGGAGACGGGTGAAGCCTGGAGGGCAGTTGACTAACTCTACTTCTGGAGTCAACAATGGGATTGATATTTTTGAACCGGATTTCCCTGTGGGTCCCTTTCAGGTATGTAGATCCTCCTTTGTCTTCATTAGCTTTTTATTTTTCCTTTTATTTTTTTGCTGTATATTAGTGTTTTTTTTTTATAATTTATAATAGTTTCTTATGGAAATCACATGTTATGTTGTGAGTTAGGGTTTCGGAGAATTATTCTTTTAATAACTCAAGTTCTTTCTCATTAAAATTTAAATTTAACTTTTTTATTATAGTGTTTTCTCTTATATAAAAAAATTTAAAAGAATAATTTTACGTATGACTTGAGAACTGTATATGCACTTTTAATCTTCACAAGATATGATACTTTTTATATGGACCCTTTTCACCTAAGAGAGTAAATTATGATATCATGCGATGTTTAGATTATCGAGTGAATATTTCGTTAGGGGTAAGTTTTAGAGACTTTGTAAATGAAAAACGAACATAAATAACCTAAGATAAATATTATTATATTTAGAGAAAGAAAATGTGGAAATACATTATGTTGCTACTTCAAAGAAAAGCCACAATCATTAAAAGCAATAGCATGCTTGGGAAAAAGTGGAATACATATATTATTGTCTCTCATACAATAATCCTTAATTTATTGATATGTTTTGGTCATTGGATGAGCATGATATTTTGTCAACTAGAGTTAACGTTGGTAGAAAACTAGATTGATTGACTTTGATATTATGTTTGTCGATCAGATTAAAGTCGTGATGAGTAGACATGCTTACTATATTTTTTGGATCCATGCAGAAAGCAGAGTCCAATGAGTTCTCAAGCGAATTGGGATATGATTGTCAAGATTACTGGGACGTAAAGGAATTAGTGAGCAAAGATGGGCAATCCAAGCTGAAAGCAAACTTCCTCTTTGCGCCCTTCGATCAACTGAGCAAAAGGGCTAGCGGAGCGACTGCCTGCACAGCAATATCTGTAGTCAATGCACACTGGCTCCACAACAACCGAGACCAAATTCCAACCGGATCCGAATTCGGCAGCCTCATTGTTCAAGGCTCCTTCGAGTGGCGGGGACTTTGTGAGCAAGAGGCTTACCGTAGTCTCTTCCCTGATAAACATTTTGACCTCGAAACCGTCCTGCGTGCTGATATCAGGCCGCTTGCTGTCCAGCCTGAGAAATCTTTGATCGGTTTCTTCAGCCCCGATAAGTTCGAGACCTTGAAAGGAACCATGTCGTTCGACCAGATATGGGATGTGATGAGTGTAGACACCAATACCGCGGGTTTCGAGCCAAAGATATACATTGTGAGCTGGAATGACCATTTCTTTGTGTTGAAGATGGAAGAAGATGCTTACTACATAATTGATTCTTTGGGGTTAAGGCTCTATGCGGGATGCGACAGGGCCTACATTCTCAAGTTTGACAATTCCAGTGTCGTATATGGAAAGGATGAAGAAGTTGAAGGCTCCGATGAATTGGCGAAACCGATTTTCCACGGCAAAGAATGCTGCAGAGAGTTCATCAAAAGGTTTTTGGCTGCCCAAACTGTTCAGGAACTTGAAGAGGGAGACAAAAGGGGGATGGTGTCTGCTTTGACTCTTTACCAGAGGCTTCAGATTGAGTTCCATTACACCTCCCGTACTCTTCATCAGTCGCCATCTTCTTCTGCAGATTCTTCCACTCTCTCCCTATGTTCCAGCGAAGACTCTTCAGAGTATGAAACTAGCTAAGCTGACCATGTAAAAGCAGGGAATAGTACACATTCTGTTTGTTATTTTTAACAACAGAATGGTAGATATAAAAAGGATATTTTTTTATATTAAAAGTGCTATGAAGTATGAACAATTATCCTTTTCTTGCTGTTACCAATTAGTTGTTTGTTTTTTGTTAAACTTCATTTTTATTCTTCTTTGAAATTCCTCTTCTTTTTTTTTTTTTTTCTTTTTGATCAGCATTTGTTCTGACCCCACAAATGACTGATGGGAAAATAAGCTCCTTTACTAACATATAGACTTACCACTTATAGTCTTAGCTAAAGCAAAGATCCCCATCCATTCATTCATTAATCATTATTTCTTGGTAATTAGACAAAAAAAAATGGGTCCACAACCACTGCCTCAAGGTTTATATATTGACCAAAAACAATAATATGTAGTAACAAAGCAACTCTCTGTCCCCCACTTACTCCAACAAAAAGCTTCATCCAGTTCTTGATTAATCATGCTTCTTCCCACTTTTATAATCCAACATCAGAATATGGGGGTCCATTTCCTTATCTGTAATTACATAAAAACATCAATTCTTTAAACAGTTCCAAGTAAATCTTTGAGGTTTTGGATGGATGAAGACACACATGATGGTTTAAAATTAATTTCAAAATGATTTTATTTTTAATAAAAATGAGATTATTTTAAGAATTATTCTGAGATCGATTTTGAAATTACGTTTAATTAATTTTTTTAGAGATTATTTTAAGTATAATAAAAAAATAAATCATATTTATTAATTAATATATTATAATATTATTAATAAGTACTAAAAATAAAAAAATAAAAACAACTTTCAACTGTTTTCTAATTCCTCCGCAAAAATCATTCTCACTGTTTTTTTTTTTTTTCAAAACATTTTTTAAACAAACGTCGTTTCGTTTTTATTTTTATTTTTTACTTCTCAAAACTCAGTGACTCTATCCTTTCACATAAATCAACGCTTAAATATGCAACACATAGAGAATCCAATCTGTGTCTAACGCATTTAAATCCTAAGATCATGAATAAAAACAACTTTTATCAAAAAAAAAAAAAAAAAGGGTTCCACCATATAAACTCTTGTTTGT